AGGAGTCTGCCAAAGTCGGTCTGTCAGTAAACGGCAAGAAGACCAAGCTGATGGTATCACAGCGCAAGACGTCCAGTAGACTCGGACCAACTGTGGAACTTGAGAACTACAGCTTCGAAGTAGTCAAAGATTTTATATACCTTGGTACCGCCATAAATAAAAGTAATGACATTAGTTTTGAAATTCGGAGAAGGATTGTGATGGTCAACAGATGCTACTATGGTCTGAGCAAACAACTCAAAAGCAAGGCCACCTCCCGCCAGAACAAACTCACACTTTACAAGACGCTGATACTACCCGTGCTATTATATGGATCTGAAGCGTGGGTACTTACGCAAACAGATGAGGCAGCTCTTGGAGTGTTTGAGAGAAGTGTTCTCCGAAAGATCTATGGGCCGATCTGCGTTAACGGTGAATATAGCCGTCGAATGAAACATGAGCTGTACGAGCTATGTTCGGACATCGGCATTGTTAGACGTATTGAGCTGCAGCGACTACGTTGGCTAGGTCATGAAGATGCCCCAACCCAAAATGCATATAAAAGCGAACCAGCTGATGGCTCACGCAGAAGAGGAAGGCCACGAATAAAATGGAAAGATCAAATGGAAGAAAACTTTGCGGAATACGATCTTTCAAACTGGAAAAACTGCACAAAAGACCGACGCGCCTGGAAATCTTAATAAACTTCACCACACTGTGGTGCAGGGTATTATGTATTTGTACATATGTTTGTAACAGGCAAATAGAAGCGAGACAGACCCATGGTTCCTTTTGAGAATATGCATAGAATCACTTTCTAAGTCGATATATGCATGACCGCCCATCCGTCCGTCTGTTCGTCTGTCCTTACGTCCATGTATTTTTGTGAACAAAGTACAGGTCGCATTTATGATACGATTTTGATGAAATTTGGCACATGTCACTTATTTGGCCCAAGGACGAACCCTATTGAAAATCGGTTCAGATTTAGATATAGCTCCCATATACAGTTTCGTCCGATATTTTGTAAATGGTGCACCAAACTCACAATATTTGTCCGATTGGGACAAAATTTGACACAGAGTACGAAATTAGGCCCAGATTGATATATGCCAAGGTTTGGTGAAATCGGTTCAGATTTAGATATAGCACCCATATATAGTTTCGTCCGATTTTAGGTAAATAGAGCACCATACTGCCAATATTGGTCCGATTGGGACAAAATTTTGCACAGAGTACGAAATTAGGCCCAGATTGATATATGCCAAGGTTTGGTGAAATCGGTTCAGATTTAGATATAGCACCCATATATAGTTTCGTCCGATTTTAGGTAAATAGAGCACCATACTGCCAATATTGGTTCGATTAAGACAAAATTTTGCACAGAGTACTTAATTAGGTCTGGATTGGTGTATGCAAAATTTTGTTGAAATCGGTTCAGATTTAGATATAGCTCCCATATATAATTTCTTCCGAGTTTTTGTAAATGGTGCACCAAACTCCTAATATTGGTCCAATTAAGTCAATATTTTGCACAGTGTACTGAATAAGGTCCAGATTGATGTACACAAAGTTTTATAGAGATCGGTTCAGATTTAGATATAGCTCCCATATATAGTTTCGTCCGATTTTAGGTAAATGGTGCACCCAAATCCCAATATTGGTCCGATTGAGACAAAATTTTACACAGAGTACTGAATTAGGTCTATTTTGATATATGCGAAGTTTCGTTCAAATCGGTTCAGATTTAGATATAGCTCCCATATATAGTTTCGCCCGAAAGGGAACACCATACTGCCAATATTGGTCCGATTAAGACAACATTTTGCACAGAGTACTTAATAAAGTCCAGATTGATATGTGCGAAGATTTTTGGAATCGGTTTAGATGACTACCAAAGGGTGGTAATTTTTAATGATCCTTCGAAGTTAATTAATTTTTTTATCTTACTGCTAGCATTTAATCCTTTAACACCTGGCAACTCTTCCTTTCACTCTTGTTCCATATTTCTGCATTCGATAACAACAACAAAATAATCCATAAGCCCCTTTCGCACCACAACAAAAACAAATCCGATGTTGCAATTACAACATGTGAATTTGGTTGATAGCTTAATTGGATGGTGGAGGCTTTATTGGCCAATAAAAAACAATGTAAAACCATGATTACACGACATGCCACCAACAAACTAACAGCAACAATATATTGCAAAAATACCCCACCACCATATTTCATATTGAGGGGGCTTGATCCACAGAAAAAATTGTATTATTAATTACTCCGATAACAAGTGGTTAATGAAAGTGGAGTAGCTGTGCACCATACCGCACCGGCACATCTGGTGCGGACCTGCCGAAATCAATCAATTGTTAATTAAATTGTATGAACAGCACACACAGTGTCCGTGTGTGTGCGTTTGTGTGAGTGCGTACTCCTCCTGTCTATGCTGTCCGAAAAAAAGTAATTGTTTAATATTTTCATAAATATTGAACGATCATAAAACGATAGCAAATGGCAGCAACAACTACATTCAAACACCTTGAGCTGAAAAATGTGTTAAATTTGCAACACACCTGTGTCTAAATTACCCCAAAATGATAAGTCCGAAAAATTGTAATACCCAAAAATAAAAAAAAATAAAAAAACCGAAATAAAATTGAGATTGGCCAATCTTTAAATGCTATGCACTGGTCTAATGTGCTTCATATCCACCAGTTCGCCTGAAGGCAATTTTGAAGAGGAAACAAGTCATTTGTATGGAAATTATAATTGAAATGCCAAGAGATAATTATGAGATTTGTTTTTTGGAACAATTTGTATTTGTTTTTTTTTTTTTTTTTTTTTGAAGTGGTTAATATTTGTAACACTTATTAACAAATATTTAACAATTGCAATAATTCATTCAGAGTATTTCTCTATAACAACTCTATTATGGATATTATGAAGAGGTTGCTTTATCTTGAGAGCCTTTTTGTTCGGACTGAAGGTCCGTAAAAACAATTGTTGGTCCTTGAATTACCACTGTCATGAAAAAATATTATTTAATAAATCCACACACCTTCCTTGGCTTGAAAATTAATACAAAATATTTAAAAAAAACATATTTTAAGCAATTTATTCATTTTTAATGAATGTGTGTATGGTGCCGTATAAGTCACTACAATACGTATACGCAACATATAACCTCTATAATTATTATACCCTTCACCATACTGTGGTACAGGGTATTATGTCTTTGTGCATATGTTCGTAACAGGCAAAAGGAATCGATATAGACACATGGTTCCTTTTGAGAATATGCATAGAATCACTTTTTAAATCGATTTATGCATGCCCGTCCGTCCGTCTGTCTGTCCATGTTAAATTGTAAACAAAGTACAGGTCGCATTTTTGATTCGAATGGGATGAAATTTGGCACAGCTCATTTATTTGGCCCAAGGACAAACCCTATTGAAATTGGAAAAAATTGGTTCAGATGTAGATATAGCTCCCAAATAGATTTTCGTCCGGTTTAAGGGAAATGGTGCACCAAAGTCCCTTAAATCTTCCGATTTGCACGAAATTTGGCACAGCGTAGTGTATTAAGCCTAGAATGATGTGTGCTAAGTTTCGTGAATATCGGTTCAGATTTAGATATAGCTCCCATATATATTTTCGTCCGATTTAAGTTAAATGGTGCATCAAAGTCCCTATATATCTTTCGATTTGCACGAAATTTGGTATAACGTAGTGAATTGAGCCTGGAATGATGCCTGCCAAGTTTCGAGAAAATCGGTCCAGATTTATATATAGATCCCATATATATTTTCGTCCGATTGAAGGTAAATGGTGCTCCAAAGTCCCTAAATATCCCTCGATTTGCACGAAATTTAACACAGCGTAGTGAATTAAGCCTAGAATGATGTGTGCAAAGTTTTGTGAAAATCGGTTCAGATTTAGATATAGCTCTCATATATATTTTCGTCCGATTTAAGGTAAATGGTGCACCAAAGTCCCCTATAAATAATCCGATTTGTACGACATTTAGCACAGCATACTAAATTAAGTCTAGAACGATATGTGTTAAATTTCGTGAAAATCGGTTCAGTTTTTGATATAGCTCCCATATATAGTTTCGTCCGATTTCATGTAAATGGTGCACCAAAATCCCTATATATCTTTCGATTTGAACGAAATTTGGTATAACGTAGTGAATTGAGCCTAGAATGATGTGTGCTAATTTTCATGGAAATCGGTTCAGATTTAGATATAGCTCCCATATATAGTTTCGTCCGATTTCATGTAAATGGTGCACCAAAATCCCTATATATCTTTCGATTTGAACGAAATTTGGCATAACGTACTGAATTGAGCCTAGAGTGATGTCTGCCAAGTTTCGAGAAAATCGGTCCAGATATATATATAGATCCCATATATAGTTTCTTCCGATTTCATGTAAATGGTGCACCAAAGTCCCTATATATTTTTCGATTTGCACGAAATTTGGCATAACGTACTGAATTGAGCCTAGAGTTATGTCTCTCAAGTTTCGTGAAAATCGGTCAAGATTTAGATATAGCTTTCATATATAGTTTCATCCGATTTAGCCTAGAATGATGTGTGCTAAGTTTCGTGAAAATCGGTTCAGATTTAGATATAGCTCCCATATATAATTTCGTCCGATTTTAGGTAAATGGTGCACCAAACTCCTAATATTTGTCCGATTGACACGAAAGTTTGACGACTCTAAATCTGCCTGAATGAAATGAAACATAACATAGGTTTCAGAATATATGTACGGATTGATGTTAGTCGGTTCACATATAGTCGGTTCAAGATAAAATATTTAAGTTCGTTCAATTTTATATCAATATGCCTTCGCAAGGTGACGTCTATTTTAGAATATATATGTAGAATATACCAAATTGGTGAAGGGTATCATATAGTCGTCCCCGTCCGGCTTTACTACTTTCCTTACTGGTTTTTATTACTTAATTATTTGTTTAAATTATAATTTTAATTTTTTTCTTTCTTCCAGAGAACAACAACTTCTGAACATTTTCGAGGTTATCATCAACACATTGGAAGGAAAATTAAAACGCATCGATAATCTGGATAAATCTGTGGAACATATGATGAGACGTATGGAAATTTTGGATAATCGTGTATCGGATAATTTAATTAAAACCGATTCGGTAATATCGAAATTGCGATCCTTAGATGTGAAAATATCCAATGATATAATTGATTCAGCCACAGCTGCGGCATTAAATTCCGAAACAAATCGTAGAACAGGAAGTAGTGGTCGTTCGGCTCGTACCTCTTCAGCATCGTCGACCATTCAATTAGACTCTCGTCTTGTATTGTTGGATCAAAAAGTCAGTGACATTGATTCAAAATTGGAGGGACTGAAAAATCAAATTGACAATAATCTGCTACAAGTTGATGAATTCAATGCTGAGGCTAGCGAAAAGAAACCGATCAGTATGAATGTCATTGAAATTACCAAGGCCATGAATGCCGAAGTGATGTCACATGTCTCGAATGAATTAAGTGAACTACGCGACACCACCGATAATATTGATAAAAAATTACAATTCCACATAAATATTGTATCGGAAAATGTCGGACGTATGTTGCGTATGGTGGGTGATATTCATGAAGCTGTTGTCGATCATCATGCCGAATATAATAATGTTAATGCCACCACAACGGCTATGCCTTTGATTAAGTCCAGTAAAATTGATGCTCTCGTCAAGAAAATAAGTCCAATGGTATCAGTATCGGAAAAAATGGATGAAGTATGGGATGTTGTAGTGGGTACCAAGTCATCGGTTGATCATTTACTACCCAAATCAGATGCTTTGCTGACGCAGACACAGCGTCAGGAACGCGCCATTGGTGAGATACATCAAGATCTGAAAACGAAGACAAATTTAATTATCAATAATTTGGATATGGTTGAGAAACGTTTAAAGAAACAAGAAGATGATGTTCAGTTGCTGGCTCAACGTCCGGTGCCAGCTGAGTTGCTGATGGATCCAACAATTGATCGTTTGGTGGAATATGATCCGAATAGGTGGGTTTGTCTGTTTTTTGAAATTTATTTTTTTTTAGGTTTTGGTTTAAACAAAGGTTGGTTGAATTGGTAAAAAAAACGAAATTGGAAAGTCAGGGGAAAGTTCGAATAAAGTATTTTGAAGGTTAGGTTTGACCTTTAAAATTAAAAATGAGTTTAAGAAGGAAAATATTTATAAGGAAACCTTTACGGAAAACTTAGAATCCATAAAAAATTAATAAATTCACCTACGAAGATCAGCTGTTTCCTATTTTGCTATTAAAATGTATTATTTTGAATTGAATTCACAGTATAAAAATGAAAACAAACAAGCGAAATCCGTAATAGGGTTACCCAATAAAATACACTATTGTGAATTGAATTCGCAGTAATAACAGCTGATTATAATCAGGATCTATTAATAAGTTCACCCAGCTAAAAACATTCAGCTGTTTTTCTCAAATCTAATGTCAACAATTTTGGACTTTGTTACAATAATGGAATTTGACAGCCAACTTGAAAGGCAGTTGATATCCAGCTGATCTCTCTGGATGACCTTATTTAATGTCTTGATTATTATAATACGCCTCCTTATTATAATCCAAGGCTTATAAACTATCCCTGAAAGATCAGCTGTTTTTCACGTTTACTGTTAAAAATCATTATTTTGAATTGAATCACGAAATGAAAGTGCAAACAGCAAAGTGAGACCTGTTAATAGCCTTACACATATTAATAAAGGTCATCCATCAAGTTTGCAAAATTTTTGACATTAAAAAGGAAACAGCTGCTTTTATAATTCCTACGTAACCTTATTAACAGTTCTTAACATAAACAATAAGACCAGCTGTTCCTCAAGTTGTCTGTCAAAATAATTTATTGTGAATCGGTACTCCATAAAAAGACCAGTTCTATAAAGAGTCCAATTGTCTTCTTCCAAAAAGTCCATCTGGTCTTCTATAAAAGATCCTGTTTGTCACTCAGGAACATCAGATATTTCTCAAGTTTACTGTACAAATTTATTATTGTGAATTGAGTTCACAGTATGAAAGTGTAAACAGTCAAGTAAGGTCTAATAATAGGCTCACACCAAGGCATATTAATAAGGTCACCCTGGAAGATCAACTGCTTCTCAAGTTTGCCAAATTGTTGGCCCAAATGAACTGCTGTTTTCGCTTCCTGGTTGACCTTATTAATAGACCTTGACACACAAAAAAAGATCAGCTGCTTCTCAAGATTTCTGTCAAAATATACTATTGTGAATTTAATTCACACCAAGGTCTATTAATAAGGTCACCCTGGAAGATCATCGTAAGTTAGCCAAATTATCGGTACTAAACATGAGACAAAAAACAGCTGCTTTCGTTTCCTGTTGGATCTTATTAATAGGTCTTGACTTACATAATGAGATCAATTGTTTCTCAAGATTCCTGTCAACATGCATTATTCGGAATGGTATTCACCAGGCCTGATAATAAAGCAAGATCTATTAATTAAGCGAAAGTCAGCTATTTTTCTCAAGTCTAATGTCAAAAATTTGGCTTTTATTTACGTTTTCATAATGGAAGTCAATTCACAATAATAGATTTTGACAGCAGACTTAAGAGGCAGCGGATATCTAGCTGGTCTCCCTGGACGACCTTATTTAAAGACTTTGTAATAAAATTAGCCACTAAGATCAGCTGTTTCTCACGTTTCTGTCGAAATAAATCATTGTCAATTGAATTCACAGTACAAAGCCCAGTTGGTCTCCTATTAGAAACGTTATTAGTGCATTATAAGAAGTTAAAGTTCGTCTTCAGGAATCCCAGTCGGTTGGTCCTCTATTAGATATCCAATTAATCGTCTATGTGAAATCCAATTAGTCTTCTATCAGAAAAGAAAAACCCAAATTGTCCTTCTATTAGAGTTATGTCGTGCGTCTTTCAATCCCAGCTGGTCTTCAGTTATAACTTCAATTGTTTGTTTATTGGAATTTATTAAAGAAGTCCTACTTTTTTCTAATGTAAGTCCAGTAAGTCTTCCATATGAATCTCAAAGCATATTCCATAGCTAGCTGGTTAACCTTCTGTTAGTATACTCGGATCCTGGAAAACCTTCTTAATAGGCCCTCGTTAAATATAAATCATCAACCATTCACAATAACAAATGGGAAAATCTATTAATTCACAATAGACATTTTCCAAAGCTTTAAAACTATAGTTAAAGTTTGAAATGCATGTTTCCACTATTAGTTTTTCTTAAGTAGTCACTCAGGGACATCTATTAATAAGGTCCATGTCCTACTAATAGACCAGATGGAAATTAGCTGCTTCTTAAGTTTGCTGTCAAATTCCATTATTGTGGAATGACTTCCATTATGAAAACGTAAACAAAAGCCAAAAATTAGACCAAGGTCTATTAATAAGGTCGTCCAGTTAGACCAGCCGACGAGTCATAGTTTGCTAACAAAATCCATTTTTGACATTAGACTTGAGAAAAAACAGCTGTTTTCATTATTATTTATTAACTAAAAGCCTTGCCCAGAAACAGCAGATCTTCCTCGATTACCTTATTAATAGGCCTTAGGCTTTTATAGAAATCTGTCACAATTTGAAATAAGAAGATCTTTTTCACTCATTCATATTTGACTTTATTCGAACTTTCCTTTATTACCTTGAAAAAGGAAAACAAAAAATCAAAAAATTTTACACTTACACAATTCTCTATTCTACCCCTACCCTGAACCTTGTTTTTTGGGGTAACTATTGGTCAAAACAACATACCTACCTATCTTTAAGCCACAATTAAACACAACAACAACAAATATCTGTATTTACATTTTGATCCAAAAATACCTATCCTATCGTAGATACTCCGTCATAGATGATTATACCGTACAAAGTAGTAGTTCCACAACAACAACAACATCAGCTCAAACAACACCCTCAACTGCTTCATTGGGAGCAACAACACCCACACCAACCTCAACACATTCTTCTTCTTCATCATCGTCCTCCTCGTCTTCTACTTCCACTTCCTCCTCCTCTTCTATTTCTTCTTCGTCCTCATCGGTAATTACCACACCCTCTGTAGTATTGGCTTCTTCCTATCAATCCTCGGGTACATTTGCCTCTACCACCCCAATACCCACAACAAATGCTGCAGGTGTTAATTTTAATCAAACTTCGTCGTCCTCTGCTTCTTCATCGACAACCACGGCAAGCAGTACATCATCATCTTCATCGTCAACATCGCAAACGACTTCGTCATCATCTAAACCTCTGTCGCGTAAAGGTGGCATCATATTCCCCAGTGTCAAGAACAAGCCATCGGTGGTGAATAATACATTCACCACAGATATATTAACCATAAAGGATGTTAAGGTGAGTTGAAAAAAATATATATTTTTTTAATTTAAGGAATTCCTTTAAATTAAAAATTCTCTTGGTATTCGGGTTATACTATTGGTAGCAAATTATTCCTAGTAGTCCTGTTGGTATTCTATAAAGAATCTAATAGATCCTCCTACTTTTAGGTGTCAATAAGATATCCGCTTATGGTGTTCAATTGGCAAATCCAATTGGTATTCTATTATTATTCTGCTTGATATCCAATTAGAATTCCCACATACTGATGATATGGGTCAGTCGGCCTTTTGTGAGAAACCCAATTGATATTCAATTAGAATCTCAATCAGCCTTATACTCATAATTCAATTGGTCTTCTATTTTTGATATCCTATTTGAATCCTAGTTGGACTCTTATTGGAATCTAAGAATCGCATTTGATCTTCTAACTGAAGCCCTGTTGAATCCAATTAAAAGCCCAATTGGTCTTATATTAGAAGTCTCATTGGTCTTCAATTAGAATTCCATTTGGTATATTATTAAAAGCCCAGTTGGTATTCTATAAGAAATCCAATTGATCATATATTTAAGTCTCATTAAAATTCCTGTTGGTATTCTATAAGGAATCTAATTGATCATATATTTCAGTCCCAGTTGATTTCCTATTATAAAAACAGTGGCTCATCTATTTGAGTTCCAATTGATCTGCTATTAGAAGCCCAATAAATATTATTTAATAAGGAACTCAATTGGAAATTAAAATCACATTTGGTCCTCTATTAGAAGCCTATTAAAAGCCCAATTGGTATTCTATTAGAAGTCTCATTTGTCTTCAACTCCAATTCCAAAAAAGCCCAGTTGGTATCCTATAAGAAATATATTTAATTTTCAGTTGATCTCCTATTAGTATTCCACTTGGAATCCAATCCAAGAAATCCAATTGATTATATATTTCAGTCCCAGTTGATTTCGTATGAGAACATCTATTTGAGTCCCAATTGATCTGCTATTAGAAGCTCAATTGGTATTTTATAAGGAACTCAGTTATCTTCTATCACACTCAGATCTCTTATTATCACATTTGATCTTCCATTAGAAGCCCTATTGAATCCTATTAAAAGCCCAGTTGGTCTTCTATCAGAAGTCTCATTGGTCTTCAATTAGAAGTCCAATTGGTATCCTAATAGAAAAGCCCAGTTGGCATTCTGACCTTTCTTCCTTCCTATTTGAAGCCCAGCTAATCTCTTATAAGAAACTCTGTTGACCTACGCAATTCACCTGAAACCCATTTTTGTCTTTTATCAGAAGTCCAGTTGGTCTTCTATTAGATTCCAAGTTGGTCTTCTATTGATAGTCCAATTGGTGTTTTATTCAAAGTTCAGTTGCTTTCCGATTAGAATCCGATTTGTCTCCATTTAAAAACTCAGTCGGATTTCAATAAGAATTCCAGTCTGTTCTCCTTCTTCTTTGTCCTCCTACACCACAGAGTCAATTAAATTTCCTCTTTTTTTCCTCCTTCCAGGGTTTCTCTTGCGTTGATTTATTAAACGCCGGCATGAAACAATCCGGGGTATTCTATTTGCAAATACGTGGCACCACCTACTGGTTTTTGAAGGTATTCTGCGAGCAGGAAATCGCTGATGGCGGTTGGACGGTAAGCACATCATTCTCTTAAATTATTCCAAAAATTAAAATATTAATAATTGTCACCTCCCGTCTAGGTCATACAAAGACGTGATGATTTCGGTGAGCCGAGAGAAAATTTCAATCGTGATTGGGCAGACTATAAGAATGGGTTTGGCGATCCAGCCAAGGAATTTTGGTTGGGCAACGAGAACATCTATATGCTAACGAATAATGAAGATTATATCTTGAGAGTTGAGCTGGAAGATTTTGAAGGCAATAAGAGGTCAGTATGGAAAATGATGATTTTTATTACTTTAAAATTAAATTATATTACCGCCCTCCCCAGATTTGCTCAATATTCCCACTTTAAAATCCATTCGGAAGCTGATTATTATAAATTGGAAATTGATGGTTATGAAGGAAATGCTGGTGATTCACTGAATGATCCCTGGTATGGTTCGAACAATAGCCCCTTCTCAACATATAATAGGGATAATGATCGATCATCGTTGAATTGTGCCAGTATGCTTAAGGTATGAGAGAGATATTTGAATGAAAATTACGATTGAAATTAATGTACTATATTTACAGGGCGGTTGGTGGTGGAAGTCATGCGGCCGAGGCTTGAATGGTTTGTATTTACACGATCCCCAAGATTTAACTGCCCGCCAGGGTATTGTTTGGTTCCGCTGGCGCGGTTGGGATTATACCCTCAAGAAGGCCACAATGATGATAAAACCGCGTGGTCCCCAACCCATGGGTTCAAACTCAGCATCGTCATCATCATCGGCGGGTTCAGCGTAAAAGTTATAAAGCTCGCCCCCACTAACTACTATCCACTATTTTAACAAAAAGCGAAACAAGAGAAGATTATTATTATTTTTTAATTTGTAAAAAAGGCACAAAACTCATACAAATCATCTTATTTTCGAAATCGAAACAAAATTATTATTATTTATAAAAAAACAACTCGCACACACTTTTCACAAAAACATTAATTCCATTTCGATAAGAATTGTTAAACAATTGCGAAAAAAATCATAAAAAGAATTACAAATTCAAATACTCATTTCTTAATACCACTGCCGCAAACACCCTCCCCCCATTACATACACAAAGATATAAACCAATCAAAGGTAAACAAAAACAACAACAAAAAAACAAACAAAAAAAGTTGCTTGTTTCATAGCGAATTATTTTTTTTAAATATGTTTTTATTATAATTTTGTTTTTATTTTTTTATTATTATTTTTCCATTTTTCATTTTGTTATGTTTTAAAGTTTATTAACTTATTATATCATTTCTTTTATACATATACCATACATATACATACACACCAAGGCATGCACACTTATTCTCTTGTATATCCACTTGCACATTATTTAAATTATCTAAATTCTTATGTTTAAAAAAATATCAATAGCCCTTCGCTATATACATATATAAATTTTGAGAAATTCATGAATTGGAATAGACGGAATTATACTTTTCATTACAACAAAAATAATTTGGAAGTAATAAGATAGAATTAAAATGTCAATGATTGAGTATTGCCACCTTCAAGAGGAGTTATGTAGAAGTTAATTTGGTCACCTATTAGAAGTCCAGTTGGAATTCTATAGAGAGTCCCAGTTGATCTCTTATTAGAATCCCACATGACCATCTATTAGAAGTCCCATTAGATTTCTATTACATCCCAGTCTATTAGAGACGCAGTTTGTCTTTATGAATCAAATTGGTCTTATATGAGAAGCGCAGTTGAAAACCTTCTTATTTTTCTATTAAAGGTCACTTTGATATTAAATTAGAAGACTATTTGGTCTGCTACTAAAAAAAAAACATTTGATTTTCCATTAGTATCCAAATGGGATTGTCTTTGAGTACCTAGATGATCTCCTTTAGAAGTCCACAGCTCATATCTTACTAGAAACACATTTGGTCTTCTATTAGAAACCCAGTCGGTATTTTATTACAAATTCAAGAGGCCCAGTTGGACTTCTATTAAATCCGAGTTGATCCTCTAAAGGGAATCCAATTGGTGTTCACTTTGAGTCTCAGTTGATCTTTCATTAGATGTTCATTATAGCTTCTACGAGAGGCCCAATAGGCATTTTATTATATCTAATTGGTCTTCAATTGAAAACCATTTTGGTCCTCCAACAGAAGTCAACTTGGCCCTCTATTACACTCCCAGCTGGTATTTTATATTTTACGAATATTCCAGACATTCACAAATAACTTACATGTCATTAAAAGCTTTATATAAATTTGGTTGTCTTACCATTAAGAACCTCCCATCAATCAACAGAAATTATTTAGTCTTCAATGAAAAGTCCAATTGATCTTCTATTGAAAAATCAGCCAGTACTCTCTTAGAGTCACAGTTGGACTACTTTTAATATAAATTTGACATCCTATTAGTATTCCAGTTGAAGTATTATTAAAATCCTAGTTGGTCTTCTGTTAGAAGGGCCCCTTGGTTTATAAACTAACTTGGTCTTCTATTAATAGTAAAACTTGGAGGAAAATCTTAAGTAAATATATAAAAAAGCCTACGTATAATTAACCTTCTATGAACGGACCAATCGATCTTCTTTAGAAGTCTACTTGGTTTTTATTAGAAACCCTACTGGTCTTCTATTAGAGTACCATTTGAATCCAACTTGGTCTTCTATTTAAAGTTCACTTGGTTTGTTATTAGCTTTGCTATTGCCTTATATATAAAAATACCTATTGACCTTCTTATAGAGATCATAATGGCAATATATTTAAAATTTGATTTTATATTTAAATTATTTAATAGGCTATTAAATATTTGAAGTATTTTGATGGATTTCATAAATTTTTTTTGGGATCTTCAGCTGTAAGTAAGGCTATTAAAAATGTTCCACATTGAAATATGGGCTTTAAGTCCAAGTATTCTAGGACCAAATAATTTTCAGATAATTTGGAAATGGATTTTCAAACATTCGACCGATTATTTGTCCGTCTTGTTGGCTGTTGCCCAAAACTCATTAGTCAATTTTTTTATCTGAATAAAGGTTTTATCAGTGCATTTCGTATAATGTTACCAAATCTAGATCGAGTCCGAATATGTCAACATCGCTATATTCATTTTGGTACCTCCCTTACAAAGGGCCAACACTTTGATCGGATTTGTCTCAATCTGTGTATATCATTGTTATTCTAATAACTAATAGCCTTCGAATCGCAATCCAATAGAAATACTAGAGTCCTCTTTAGAATGGACTAATGAAGTTCAAACTTAATCCTATTCAAAAGTATCTTGCAAAGCATTACATTTTTTTATAAAATATACTATGATATAGTCTGATTTGCTTTTTTATCATTTTTTTGTAATTCCCGTCTTTTCAATTCTTTTCTTTTTATTCAATCGCATTCAATAACAAACACTCAAAATTCACACAACCCTTTTTCCAAAATGCAAGCCAACACTTACACCCACACAACAAAGCTGTCATTATTCGTTATAAATTCATAAATTATTTGTAAAAAAAAAACACAAAAATCGATATTGCATTAATTGTTAAATCATTTCAAAATTGCATTCATTATTATTATGCTACTATTTTATTATTATCATTATTATTTTTATTTTTTTTTTACGCACATTTTCCCCCACAAAAAAAATGATTTCCCAATTCTAATGTAAATATATTTTTTCTTCGCTTTTTTATTTTTGTTATTTACTACAACTATATTGTAATTGGAAACAAAAAAATGATATGAATAACAAAAAATATATATATCTATAATTTTTTATTCATATATACAAAACTGTTGTCTTCCAGATTTTTGATTTTTTTGTTTTGTTCATTAATTCATATAATCATCATCCGCATTACAATCATTCAAACACAAAAATCAAACAACAATAACAAGAAAAACAAATCATAATTAGTAGTTAAATTTTGTATAAAAAAACATGATGTGAATAAGAGAACCCAAACAACTGCAACAACAATAATCACAATTTGTAAAACAAATTAGTATTCTTAAGAGATTCTTTGTAGTTAAAAACAACAACAACAAGAGGTTAATACAAATAAAATAAAGGAAAAAAATATTAAAATGTGTTTTTATTTTTAATATAGTTTAATTTTTTTCCGCGCCTTATGTTTCTTTTGAATTCTTCCCAAATATATTCGTTTAAAAATCCAAGCCTATGTTTTGAAGCGCCTAAAAATAGGCTTTGAACTTCAACATTTCTAGATTATTGATTTATTTCAATGTATGGCGGCAACACTGGCAAATGCATGTGCATATCGCCATCTATTGATATGCATAATTAAAAATCTATTGATATGCATAATTAAAAATCGTATGGTAGCTTTAATGTGATATCGAGTGAATCATATTTGTGTAAGCTTTTGCAATACAAATTGTATTAGAATTGTATAAATTCTGCGCTTTAAATCAAAGACTGTTGGGCATAAATACAGCTTATAAATATATGATCACATTAAGGCTGCAATAAACGTTCATATTTTATATTATGTTCCAAATAAAAATTCCTACAAATTTGTCAACACAATGGCTTCAGATGTGCTTCAAACAATACCATTCAAATCCGAATAAAATCGGCCTTGAATTGTGTGAACATATCGGTTTTTATTATTTAAAGACGTGAGAAGTCGAGACTTTTCAGCTTTCGCTTTGCGATTTTCAATCATGCGTATCAATAGATGGCGCTATTCATATGCATTTGCCAGTGTTGCCGCTATACTTTGAAATAAAGGGCTGATTTAGAAATATTGAATTCCAAAGCATACTTTTAGGCGCTTCAAAACAAATCTGGTTGGACATTATTTCACCCTCAGAATAATATTAACGATAAACTTACTGTTCGGTGCTGACCTGAAGATTCAACCCTTTCAACATTTTCCATATTAATTAATATATTTTTATTGAAATCAATTACATATAAATATACAATTCAAAAACACAAAAAAAATGTAATACGACTTCTCGCACAAACTCTGCCGTCCGTCACCTATCCTAATTATAATAAGCTGAACGGAATGACCTCTCTGAATCTCGTTTAAATGTCTCGTGCATTTTTGTAATATCTTCCAGTTTGTTGCCAATGTTCGATGTACTCTGTTCGATCCATTGCAGAGAACTCATATGGGCATTTAGAATTTTACCAATCTGTATAATGGGATCTGTATTATCCTGACACTTATTGGATTCATTCAAATTATCAATAATCTCTTTGAGATCTTCAGACATTTGCTTCAGTTGGGTATCTAGATTTTCTACCATCAGGTAAGTCTGTGATCTTTCAACATCAACTTGTGGTATTTTCATGAATTCCTTTTGCAACGGTACAATACTTTCTTCCAATTCCTTGTGTTGTGTTGCAATAAATTCCAATTCTTGTTCTAAGGTCTGCTGATCGGCTTTTACCTTTTGTACTGCATCATTTAGATCCAAAATCTTTTGATTGTTGCTGATGAGAACCTTATCCCAGGCATTGATTTGTGTCGCCTGATCGGTAAAGACTTTTTCTTGTTCTTCCAATTCTAGGGTCCATTTATTGATGTGTTCTTCCAATTGATTGTAGGTTAGCTGTGAGGCATTGGCGACTGCCGAGGAATCTGTGGTTTTTGTGGCGGTAGTTAGACTGGCAAAGCCTCCGGTTGCTGGTGGTTTAGAGGTCACGGTGGCCGTTGCAGCTGTTGTTGCTGCGGCTGCTGTCAGGCCGGTTCCTGTGGTACTGGACGACTGTGTCGTGGTTGCGGCTGCCGTTGGAGCTCCAAATGAGAAGCCACTTGTTAAAGGTGCAGCTGCGGCGGGTTGTGTTGCTGCCGCCGTTGTTGTAGATGCAGCCGATGTGGTTGTTGCGGCAGCAGCTGGTGCCGCTCCAAAGCCACCAAAACCCCCAGTGCCAAGGCTTGGAGTGGCCGCCGTTGTAGTTGCAGATGCAGCTGGTGGAGTACCAAAGCCAAAACTGGTACCACCTCCTAAACCACCCAATGATGGTGTTGCAGTGGCTGGAGCGGCGCTTGTTGCTGCTGTTGTGGTGGCAGCTGCCCCACCAAAGCCGAAACTTAATGGTTTTGCAGCTCCAGCATCACCACCACCAGTCGCGCCAAAACTAAAACTTGGTTTTGCTGGTTGTGCAGCGGCAGTGTTGGCACCAAACGAAAATCCTCCAGTTGTGGCCGCTGTTGTGGTTGGTAATTGAAAACTCATGGTAGATATATTTTCTGAGTAATTGTAGTTTTATTATCTTTAAATTTTAATTAAATCGATCCGGCTTCTAAGTGAGTTTCGCTGTTGTTTTGCTATGGACAATCGACACGAGCAGAGTGACAATGTTGCCAGATCGCAGGGGAAGTGAATTTGCGAAATAGTTTTACAAGCACACATTGAAAACGCCAAGCGTTGAGCGAAATTCATGACGTTGATATGGCGGTTTCCACAAAATCATAATTGGGGTCCTATAAAAATAGGTTGTTGGTGCAATGATGAATTAATTTAATTAAAAATACATTTATAGGCGCCTTTATATGTCAACCAAAATGTTTTTAAAATTTCCACGCTTTGGTATTTTCATTTTATTCCTTCCTTTCTCCCTCACTCTCTCTCTCAGTGAAAATAACTGACAACCCGAACTGGAAATAAAAAAAGAGGCACATCATTCACAGTGCATGGTTAACACAAAAGAAGAATAATATACAAACATGAATTAATACTTCAAAACTATAATATATAAACATGTAACAAGTTTTTAGAAAATTAAATAAATTAAAAAATCATTACATCTTACTGCCAGCCACACTCCCACTCTCTACAAATTGTTTTGTGTAAATAACAGTTGCAATACCACCTGGCAATGCTGACACTAATCAAACACACCATTCATTGTGATTAGCTGCATAGGTTAAGAAAGAAGAAGAATATGTAAATAAAAAAATACATACTTTTTTCTTACGAAAAAAATTCAGTTTTTTCTAACCGATCCACCGCTCTAAACATATTGGCTATATCATGAAATTACTCATATTTATATTAACTATTGCAATTGCACAATGTCACGCCAGTCCCAAGCTGGTCGACCCCACAAAAACCACCGTTTTTGGCAGCGGTTTGGAACCGGATAAAATTGTATTACCGGCTAGATTTTTCTATATACATGCCGCTGGAGATGATGGAGTAATGTAAGTGAAATCTGCATCATTGGATATGACCATTTAATGATTCCTATTTTTTCTATTTTTTAGGTTCAATGAATCTCCGCCCCTAAATTTTGATGTACAAATTGAGGGCAAATCACCACACGGCCCATGTCGCTCCAAAGTGGATTTGATTAATCGTGGTGATGGCTCTTTCATTGCCCGTTATAGCATTATCAGCGATTGGTGTGATAAAATGATTATCAATGTACGCTATAATGGTTCCCATGTAGCTAAATCACCATATTATATACGCGACTTGGTCTATTCGGAAAAATGTTATTGTCCAAGAGATCTGAATATTTGGCTAATCGATAATGAATGTAAATCGGCCACTCAGGAAGATCAAATTGTAAGCGACTTACATTCCTTTAAGAGGGTCAACTTTAGTATGATACGCGATAATCTCATTAAAAGATACAATCAACCGGAAAGCGTATCGCTGTGCCATTATGTCGTGAAGGATCAACAAATTTGGCGTAAATGCTACGGCAAATATGATGGCTTTAAAATGTTTATGGATGCCACACTCTTGGCATTAGGCCGTGTTGTTGCCTTGCCCGATATGGAATTCTTTTTGAATTTAGGTGATTGGCCATTGTCACGTAAGGGTGGTCAACAACGTACTTCAGGGCCGTATCCGATATTTTCATGGTGTGGCAGTGATGATTCTTATGATATAGTATTACCCACCTATGATTTGACGGAATCGACGGTGGAAAATATGCAACGTGTATCGTTGGATGTGTTGTCGGTGCAACGTGAAAAATATCCATGGTCGAGTAAAGTTGATAAATTATTCTGGAGGGGTAGAGATTCGCGTAGAGAACGTTTAGATTTGATTGCTTTGGGCCGCAAACACTCGGATAAAATTGACGCTGCTTTAACGAATTTCTTCTTTTTCCGCGATGAAGAACATAAATATGGACCCAAAGTACCGCATATCAGCTTTATGGAATTCTTTAAGGTGAGAATCGGGAAAATATTTTCAAAATGAATTAAAATTGAAAGAAAAAATTAGTTACCAGGTTCTACGTGGGATCGTTTAAAACAACTGTGGTTTTAAATCTTGTAATGTAGACAAATCCGTAATATGAACCGTTCAAAAATATTTTTTTCGCTACTTCAATGACCCATAGATCTAATAATTTCTTTAATAATTATATTCTTCTTTATTTCCTTTCAGTACAAATATCAACTCAACATCGATGGCACTGTGGCTTCATATCGTTTACCCTATCTTCTGGGCGGTGGATCCACAGTTCTCAAACAAAGCTCGCCATATTATGAACATTTCTATCACAAACTAAAGGGTCATAAACATTATCTACCCATTAAGAGGGATTTATCTGATCTCGTTGAAACCATAACATGGCTAAGAGAAAACGAAGACAAAGCTTTGGAGCTGGCAAAAAATGCTCGAGAATTTGTCAACTCAAATCTTACGCCCAGACACATTTATTGTTACCACATGGCTCTGTTTAAGGTGGGTATTTTCAAAACAACAACAAATTTAAAATAATATTGAAATAAATGTATTCTTCTACAGGAATGGAGTCAACGTCTAGTCTCACCTGTCATGGTTCTACCCGGCATGGAAAAACTTGAACAAACCCACAGTTGTAGCTGCAAAGAAACGCACACTCGTGATGAACTGTAATCTCGTATTTTAAATAATTAAAGTATTTATTTCAACACATCATTCCCATCCATTATCAAAACGAAAAAAATACTCTTAGATGAATATACATTGATTGCTTTTATGAATCTATTTTATATACAAATGATATTTATTTATATATAAAAAAATATATGATGCCATATACACTCAAATTCACTCTATATAGAAAATAGGCAAACAAAAAACGAAACATTGTAGAACGTGTTTTTTATAAAGCGGGCAAAACTTAAAAAACAAAAAATGAACGGTAAAAAACTCGAATATATTTTTGAACCATATAAATATATTTGTATTTAGCACACTTTTTGCACAAATTTTAGATTTTGAGAATCTCATAGTTTTTTTGTGAAAAAAATAAAGTGAATATGAAAAAATAAATACCTTCTTTTTATTGTTGTAATGCTATTGTGGAATTATGAAACAGTTTCAAATTAAACAGCTATTTGTTCCAAACTTTAGGTCCAGCTCAAAGTATTAACCGCTAAAGTGGCTAGAAATATTACCAATAAATTTGATGATAAGTGAGTATAATATTTCTGTTGATTTAGGAAACTCTCCTTTTCAAATAAAAGACTTCCACATATTTACTTAACAAACTTGTTTATTTTAAAAAATAATGATAAAAAATACACACACGCATATATATTTCATTAATATACATAATTCCAATTTAATTTCACTCATGATTTCACTAATAATTTTTAAAATGCTTAAGTCTAAACAGTGGACACTCCTTATTATTACCCATTGCCAAATAGGCAGAGTGTGGTGAAAATTCCATACATCTAACATTACCAATTTTCGGCATAAATCCGGGGAAATTAGCATATACCGTACCGGATGGGAAATGTGCCAATTTCAAAGCATTTGGAACACGACTTGAAGCGAATGCCAATAACTCAGAACTATGATTGAATTTAACACAGCTAATAGCAGTGGTTAGATTGAGAAAACTTTTTATGGGCAACGGTGTCTGAGTTTGCATAACATTTTCAAAATCATAAACATTGACAACACCTTCCATACTGCCGGTGGCCAAGAGACGTTGATTTGGTGCCAAATCCATTGCCTTTCCGGCAATACAACCATCATCGAGGAATCGATGTTCCAAACGCTGTTGACGCATTGAAAAGACACAGATATTGGCCGAATCACTGCTTACAATCAGTCTCTGTGAATCGTTCGTGAAACAAATGGAAGCAACATTATCATTTTGTTTTAGGGAAGCAATAATTTCAAAGGTTTTGGCTTCTTGTATGTGGATTTCACCACAACGTCCGGCCGATACCAAATAACGGCCGCAAGGAGATATTGTAAAATTATTCAGATTTCCACTATTCTTACGCAAACTATAGCGGGTCTCCTTTGCCGTCATTAGATCATATAAATAGGCATAGTGCAACGTGGAACCGAACACAGCCTTTGTGCCGCAGGGTAACAGACGGGCACACTTAATGGGGAAATTGGGTATGTGAATATTATGGAGCTTGTCATTCTGGGTACCATCGATGGCATAAATGGAAGCTATACCCTTATCACCTGCCACCAAAGCGGCCGTACTTGTCGGATGAAATTGTATACTATTTATATTACCCTCAGCATAGGTGGCACGATTAACATCTTTCATCCTTTTGGCACTTATATGTTTATCTGGCAAAATGCCTTCTGGTGGTTTATTGATAAAACCCACTGTCCGCAGTAGATCATCATCATCGCCCTCATCATCCGAGTGTTTGGCTTTATCTTTTTCATCCAAATTTGCCCATTTCGGTTGGTTGACAATACGGGTAAAGCGTGCAGTCAAATGTTCCTTATATGTGTTATCCAACTTCAAATGATCCAAGGGACCGGTGTGTTTGGTTTCCTTTTTCACATCACCCAATTGTATGGCTTCATCATCTTCATCAACCCATACTGGTTTGCGTTTTTTCTTTTTACCGGTACTACTCTCGTCCTCCTTGTCATCATCGCCATCTGATTGTGTATCACTCTCTTCGGCCTTGGCCTTCTGGCCCACTGCTCTTTTAAGATTCTTCAACAGCTTATCTTTATCGCCAAATAAAACTTTATCCATGGGAACCTCTAAAGGTCCACTTGTTTTCACATTGCTTTTGTTCTTTCCGTCTTTATTTTCACTGTTTTGATTGGACTTCTCCTCCTCTTCGTCGACTTCTTGTTCATTGGTTTCCTCCTCCTGCTCCTTTTCACGATATTCAGCAATGAGTTCATTTAACTCTTGCATATCATCACTTAGCTCATCATCACTCATTTTTTTGTTAGATTTTTAATAAAAATTTACAGAAAAAATATTAAATAAAACCGCACCAATTCAATCACTCAGTCACACGTGTAGCACAATGTTTACAAGTTGAATGTTGCCAGATGGAAATAATTGATATGCAGCCCATTAAGATATTTATATTAAAGTGGGGTACACACCATACAGCGGAAAGTTGACAGTTTTTATTTAATTTATTTTTTGACATTGAATATCAAGGTTTTTGAGGTGAATAATAAAAAAGTAACTATGTAGACATGGTAAATTTATACATATATACATGAAGTCATATTTGTTGATAAATTCACTTATAAATACATTAAACTTTCAGAATTAAAATGAAAATATCTTGACAAAATTTGTTCAATTATTTATATTTTTTAATAGTTGCAGGCAAAAGGAATCGAGATAGAACATGGTTCCTTTTGAGAATATGCATAGAATCACTTTCTGAGTCGATTTATGCATGTCCGTCCGTCCATGTATTTTTGTGAACAAAGTACAGGTCCGATTTCAATGAAATTTGGCACAAGTCACTTATTTGGCCCAAGGACGAACCCTATTGAAATTGGAGAACATCGGTTCAGATTTAGATATAGCTTCCATATACAGTTTCGTCCGATTTTTTGTAAATGGTACACCAAACTCCCAAATTGGTCCGATTGAGGCAAAATTTTGCATAGAGTACTAAATTAGGACTAGATTGATTTGATATATGCCAAGTTTTGTTGAAATCGGTTAGGATTTTGATATAGCTCCATACTGCCAATATTGGTCCGATTGAGACAAAATTTTGGACAGAGTACTGAATTAGCTCCACATTGATGTATGCGAAGGTTTGTTGAAATCGGTTCAGATTTAAATATAGCTCCCATATATAGTTTCGTCAGATTTTATGTAAATGGTGCACCAAATTCCCAATAGTGGTCCAATTGAGACAAAATTTTGCACAGAGTACTGTATTGGGTCAAGATTGATATATGCCAAGTTTTGTTGAAATCGGTTCAGATTTCGATATAGCTCCCATATATATAGTTTCGTCCGTTTTTTTTGTAAATGGAGCACCATACTGCCAATATTGGTCCTGTAGGTACACTTTATTATTTTTCATTTTGTAATTTGTCAATCAAGTTTTCATTGAAATCATCTCAATACGAGTAAGTTTGGTGAATCGGAAGACGAATAGCTGAATTGTATTTGTTTCAACGAATTTTTGATTTAGAATTATCGTTAATATTACTGTCAATATTTTTTTTTATATTTATATTACATATTACCTTTTGTGTGAACTCCTCCCTAAAGCATCAAAATGTTAAGATCACCACAGCGAACAGATCGGGACTCGAACGAAAACGGTTCAGGGGATCATAACGTGACATTAAATTCTAATACGGATGCGCAATCTCAAGTTTTGAATAGTTCTAATATGATAGGTCAGAGGAATGGTATGGAAGTGTCGGCGGCAGCGGTTAAGCTTCCGGGGTTTTGGACAAATTGCCCTGAGGCGTGGTTTATTCATGTCGAGATGCAGTTCGCAACTAAAGGTATCGTTGTGGATAAGACTAAATACGAGTATGTCATTACAGCATTACCTCAAGATGTGATTATGATGGTTCTAGATGTGATACAGAACCCGGCGGGTAATAATAGATATGAAGTTCTGAAAGATGTTTTGATTAAACGGCACACTTTAAGCGAGAGTAAACGTTTGGAGAAAATAGTGGCTGATTCGGAAATAGGAGATCAAAAGCCTTCAGAATTTTATAGAGCTATGTTGTTATTGGCAGGTACACGGTTTAGCCAGGACATGTTAAAGAGACTATGGATACGAAAATTGCCGAAAAATCTTAATGTGGCACTAATGGGGTCCAATGTTACTGATATAAATCAACTAATTAAATTAGCAGATGATATTTGGGAAGTGTTACAGAAAGATGAAATAGTTGCTCTAGGAATTTCCTCAACATCGGCAGAGACGTCGCAAATTACAGATATGGGTAAGGTAGTCGAAGGTTTAGTTCAGACCACAAATAATATTTGCCAAGGGTTTAGCCAGCTATCATTGGAGGTTTCTATGATGAAGAGACAGTTCGGAGAAATGCAGGGCCCAGATAGAAGTGGGAGGTTTAGTGGAAGATCACGATCGGGAACTTGGAAGAAGAATTGGCTATGTAGGTTCCACTATAGATTCGGTCAAGATGCCAGGAACTGCGAGCAGCCGTGCGCATTTAGGGAAGGTAATAGTTCAAAAAACTAAGCAAGCCCGTTGTGAAAGCGACTAGCGATGGGGGTGCGGAAAAAACAACGCGTCGCTTATTTGTGTATGATAGAACGAATAAATTAAAATTTTTAGTGGATAGTGGAGCCGATATATCGGTTTTGCCGGCGTCAAAATTTAAAGGTTGTAAAAGGGTTTCAGACGTCGTCCTAACCGCGGCTAACGGATCAGCAATTCAGACATATGGAAAGAAGTTGTTAAACGTAGATTTAGGATTACGTCGAGATTTTCAGTTTGTTTTTACTTTGGCGAACATAAACAGACCGATAATAGGAGCGGATTTTCTGCACAAGTACGGAATGTTAATTGATATCAGAAATAGAGTGTTGGTAGACCCTCTGACAAATTTAAAGGTGTCTACATGTTCACAGTTGTGTTCCATTCAGTTACCAAAGATTTTTGCTTACCAAGATCAATATACGAAACTGCTGAAGGAGTTTCCCTCATTAACGGCTGAGCCTGATTATACGAAACCAGTTAAACATTCGACTGTACATAGGATAGTTACTAATGGACCATTGCCCTATACAAAGCCTAGGAGATTGGATCCTGTGAAATATAAAGTTGCTAAGGCAGAATTTGAATATCTAGTCAGATGTGGGATTTGCAGGCCTTCCGATTCAAGTGTAGCATCGGCATTGCATTTAGTCTCCAAGAAGGATCCAGATGATTGGCGACCTTGTGGAGATTTTAGGCAGTTAAATGCTGTAACAGTCCCTGATAGGTATCCCATTCCACACATACATGACTTAAACATGAACATGAAGGGAAAACGGGTATTTTCAAAGTTGGATTTAGTGCGGGCTTATCACCAGATTCCTATGTCAACGGAGGATATACACAAGACCGCGATTACTACGCCATTCGGAATGTTTGAATTTGTTAGAATGCCGTTTGGGTTGAGGAACTCATCTCAAACTTTTCAGCGGTTCATAAATGAAGTAGTAAGAGGACTAGACTTTATATTCGTCTATATTGACGACGTATTAATTTTTAGTGAAACTGAAGAGGAGCATTTACGGCACTTGAGCATTGTGTATTCGCGGCTACAGGAGTATGGATTGAACATTAAACCAGGGAAGTGCATATTCGGTGCAACAAATGTGGATTTTCTGGGGCATAACATTTCGGAGGAGGGTATTAGACCTCCAGATGAGAAAGTATCTGCTATTCAGAAGTTTGAGAAGCCAAACACGGTTAAACTCATGCAAAAGTTCATGGGTATGATCAATTATTATCATAGGTACATTCCTGGGCTCGCGGAATTGTCTAGCCCTATACATGAGATGTTGAATCGCGCGTTAGCCAATAAAAACAAGAAAATTGTATGGGATGATAGGTCTCAGAAAGCTTTCGAGGATATTAAGACAGCCTTTGCGTCTCGTATTATGTTGAGTCATTTTGATGGTATATCAAGATTAACATTGACAGTTGATGCATCATGCATTGCAATAGGAGGTGTATTGCAGCAGATGCGGGGTGTAGTGGCAGAGCCCTTAGCATTTTATTCTAGAAAATTGTCCGAGGCAGAAGTAAAGTACAGTGCATTTGATCGTGAGTTACTCGCGATTCATGACAGTATTCAGCATTTTCGTTATATGCTTGAAGGCAGGTGTTTCACGGTATATACTGATCATAAGCCATTAGTACGGGCTATGGTGTCAAAGACAGAGAGGAGTCCGAGACAAATCCGACAGTTGGAATACATATCGCAATTTACGAATGACATTCAATACCTGCGGGGGATCGACAACTTAGTAGCCGATACGCTGTCGAGGTCATTCGAAGTGGATGCTTTAAAGAGTTCAGACTTGAATTTAAAAGTATTGTGTAGCGAGCAGCAAAATGATGAAGAGTTGACCGAGATATTACAAAGTACGAATGGACACCATAATTTGAAATTAATTGATATTCCAGTATTTAACGTATCTTTGTGGTGTGAGGTATCACAAGAGACACAGCGGCCATATATACCACTGGTGATGCGCAGGGTTGTATTTGATAAACTTCATTCAGTTTCCCACCCAGGTGTTAGAGCTACCCGCCGAATGATTTGTAAGCGATATTATTGGCCTGGTATGAGTAAGGAAATTAATGTTTCGTCCGATTTTATGTAAATTAAGCACCAAAGAGTAAAATTTAGCCCGTTTCGCACAAACATTTTGTTGTAAGGTCAACTGTTATTGCATGCTCTTAAAACGAGAGGTCGATATCTTTTAACAATACCTAGATGACGGTGGTATCGATTTATTTAGGTTTGCTCCGGCTCTTCTCAGTCGGCACTCTCAGCGGTGTGCATAACAGAGACAACAAGAAATTGAGTTACTAATGTAAAATGAAATTCAAAAAAAAAAAAAAAAAAAAAAAAAAAGATATAAATTGTTGTTGCGTTATTTTCCAGACAGCGTTGTTTTCTGGTATCCAGATGTCATTGGATACCTTTATCGCCCACCCTATGGATTCCTGTATGAATCCCCTTTTTGGGCTCCCACCATGGTGAGATGCCCCCAATACCTATATCGACTTCACCTTAGTTTACATTATCCCCTTATATAGTTGATTAAAACATATTGTTATGTTTAATTATTTTCATATTTTTTTTAATTCATAAATTCTTTTCATATTTATTTTCTTTGATATAATAACATTAGATCGTATAATAATACATAATATTATATACTACATAATGATAATAAAAAAATAATCTGAAATCTATTTACTTGGGTGTCAATCGACAATGTCAATAATGGAAGTACATACAAATTTGAATTACATTGGTATGTTCATCCCAATTCAAGTACCACTGTGCACTATATTGTATACTAGAGGATATATATATATATATATATATATATTTATAAAGGATATATTTATAACCTATCGAGCTCAATGGTGTAATTATTTATCCTTAAATGGTTCAAATAAAATTGTATACGAATAGGGATAAACATTTGACAAAATTATAATTTCGAAGAAAATATTTTTATAAAAATTTAAATCCAGAATAATAACTATATAAATATATATAGGGGTTAATATTTAATATTTAAATTCAAAATGTTCACAAATTATATAAATTCAATCATTCAAATTGAATATGTATGTACGTTTATATATGTATGAGTGTATGCATGTATATTACAAATGTATGCTCATATATACATACACCTATAATAACTGTACATATATACAACGTTTATTATATATCATTATATAATTATATTTATTTCTTTTTTTGTATTATATACTATTATATATTATATATTTTTTTTTATGTGTGTATATATATTAATATATATACTATATATATGTATGTATATTAGGTACGATACTATACGAGGGTATATATATATAATTTATAAAATAGATATATCTAATATATATATATAGAAATATAAGTATGCAATTACAACTAAATTTGCTTTATAACACGAAAGAGTATTCAATTTTGACATTAACTTGATTTGACAGATTTAATTTTGATGTAATTCTAATGAATTTGGAGAAGACAAAGAAAACGGTGGAATTTCGTGTACAAAATGGCGGGAATTCTCACTTTTATAAATGTTATTTTCAAGTCAAAACAATTTAGTATTTTAGGAGTGTATTTGATCATTTAAATTTATGATGGTTTTGTTCCAAAACTCGGCTGACCGTCGAGTAACAAATAAAAAAAAAATGTGGCCCCTAACCTCCCGGTCTGTGACTGGTCGGATAGGGTACCAAACGAGGACAAAAAATATAAGTTGACGCAAACTGTCACTTTTCCAGGTGTGTACTTACAGTTGGGGAATCGATACCAAACCTTTACTGTAAGAGTGACTTGTCTGATGGAAGGTATTCGTTGATGCCGATGGTGGTTCTGACGATGGCTTCGTATATGATGAAGTCCCAAAAATTGTGTGTGGCGTTCAAAAAAAATTGTCCAAAGAAATTTTAATGTCGCCTTCGGTGTGGTTATACCAATGCCAAAAGGAAAAAAATAATGACGGCAACAGTTGGTTTTGGTGTGGTAATTTTCCACTGTATACCACAGGAGGGTAATAGAATTCCTGGGCCGGGATAAGCACGTGGCACTCTAGGTACACCAGATACCGTTAAGGCAACCGTTATAACTACCGCTCCAAAAAAAAATCTCTGGAAAAAAAAACACTTCTATACAAACTCGCTAATTTACATTGGTGTGTAAGTTTCACCAAAACCTACCCACAAAACCGCTTACTTTCCGCAAAAGTAGTTTATTCCAACAGGAGGGATAAGAAAAAAATAACACTCCACTTCCAATTATTTAATAGGACTTTGCACCGGTATATAACTTTGCACTGTAGAATTTGTTGTTGTGGTCTGCCGCTACGTCTTACTATTTCGAATTACACTTTTAGAATGACGCCAAAATGGCAATCGGTGCGAAAAGGAAAAATGAGTAAGGGCACCTTAGTCCGAAACTTGCATAAGAATATGCAAAAAGGAACAATCGACTAATCGATGTCATGATCGATTATTGACTGATGACAGATGGGCTATGGTAGGTTAACACGAGGGTGACATAACAAACCCGAACACGTTGGTGGAGGCCTGCCGGAAGCATACTGATTCGGGAAGTCAACCGAAGAATAAGAGAAGTGGGGAAGAACCGCGACCCTGATAAATCAAAACGAAAGCCGGGAGAAACTATTTCGTCGGTACCATATGTTGCAAATCTTTCGAATGATAGACCCCTAATTTCTTTCCCTGAAGGTCTTCAATTTCGTATAGTGAGGTCCCTACCTTCCGGACAACTCTACACTTCACAAACTTCTGACACAACTTCGAATTAAGATGGCGGGAAGCGTCACTCAAAATGAAGTTCCGTCTCAGTATTTCCTGCCCCGGTTTGAAATTAACTTCGCGCGATCGTGTGTTGTAGCGTGCGGCGGATTTTTCAAAAACATCGTGCAATTTATTTTTAATCCTGTCTCGAACTAAATGTAGAATGTCAT